GAGGAGCAGCAGTTGCCTGAGTTTTCTTTTCTTGTTTACAGCTGCCAACACTAGAGGGCAGTGTGTAACTTCCGTCAAACTACTGGACACACACACACACACACACACAAACTGGGAGCGAGAACACAAAGCAGCCTGCATCACTGCACACAACAAACAAAGCCAGGAGGAACAGCACCACACATACACACACACACACACACACACACACACACACACACACACACACGCACACACGCTGAGTGCACACTCATTGTCATTCCTTGCTAACATTCCTGAGAGCGCGGCAGTGGCAGCAGTAGGTCTTCTGCTAGCTCATTGTATATAAGCGCGGCGACACGTCAGCGCAGAGATGGGAACACGCTATCAGGGGTGTTTTCTCCCAGAGAACGGCCGTGAGACGCTGACAGCCGTTTAAACATGTTAGGATGGCACCGAATGATTTCTATACATCCGTGATAGCCCTTCCTTGGGTTCTTCCAAGTTTCACCAACACTCACAGGGGACACGTGTGTGAGGTAGTCTTGTCTCTAAACGTACTGTATCTGCAACGTGCTGCCGATGGGGATGGAGCACGCACAGCAGGAGACAAAGGCTACATTGAAATCACTGTTTAACCGCAGTGACTGTTATCAACCGGGTCTAGCAGTAGCTACGGGCAGACAATGGACAGAGGAAACGTTTGCAAAAGGATTGCCTTTTAAGTGTGTTGTCATTCAAGGAGAATTGTTAGGTATCATTTTTTGCCGCTGGACTCTCAAGGAGGAGCGGAGACAGTGTGAGTCAAAGACAGTTCCTCTCCTTCAGTTCAGGCTGAAGTGAAAAGTCTGGCTCCTCTTGCATCTGTCTTTTTGAAACACCTATCCACAACGCCCTTTCAGACATGGTAGGAAAAAGATGTGAAAACGCTTCAGAGATCTTTTTTTTTTTTTTTAACAAACAATCAATGTTCAAAAGAAGATGAACGCTTAGATTAGACTCACAGTTTGGGCCATATGCGCGTTTCCAAAGAAAAGCCATAACAACCTTGTTTTTATTTTTCTGACGCTCGATCACCCAACTACACCAACAGTCTACATTATCTGCTGAAATATCAACACCGACCCTCACCAAACACTGAGATTTAACATTTGACCCGTACAGATAATAAAAAACACCCGAACAACCATTCATGAGCAATGCTTTTAATTCTCCCTTTAACATTTTAAAGCACTTCTTCTTATTTATCTGCATCTTAGTCATACAAGTGACCAGGATGAACCCTGATATTAATCTTACCTTTGATAAATAAATGACTGAGAGCAGATGTCTCCCTAATTCACCACGTGCCTGCCATGTCTAAGCTTTGAACAGGTTCTCAGATTTGTCTTTGATAGCTGGGTTGCTTGTTGTTTAACGTGTAATCAAACCTAATCCTCTTGTTGTGCTTTTTGGTGTTCTCCCTGAAGAGCCACAATTACCTGCAGTAAAACACACTGCCCTTGACTTTGGATCTTTTTTTTGGCAAGAGGAGCCTTCCCAGTTTAGTAGAAAGACGCTGCCCCACCCTAACTGGTTTACAGACTTAATGGAGCGCATTAAGTTTTCGAGTACTTGACGTACGTCGTGTGGATCAGAGAATAAAGCCAACAAAGAGGGATTTTTTGGGCATTATTTGACAGGTGGATTATATAAATGTCTAAAAGAGCACATTTTATCTAATTTGTTCTTCCTTGGATGGAAGCCTAACTGTTATTTATGCAGCTTTCTCCCAGATTTAGTCTCCTTTTCGTTATTTTATAATAGAATGTCCATATATATATATATATACCTGTATGCCTTATAAAGACTGTACAGTAAAACATTTTCCTGATACATTTCGTTTCCATCTTTGGAGCAGCAGATGGGAGATGAATCCATCAACTGTCCACTATTGTCGTCAGCTGTCATTTCTGTGATCACACATCTCTGAACGCCAATAAAAAACATTTTTTGAAAGACTTTCCTGACGTCTCAGTGTCCTCTCTTCTATTTCTCCCTGTCATTAACTCTCTCTCTTTCCTCGCAGCCCCCCCTCCCTCTTCTCCCCCTTTGCTTGTCCTCCCCAGAGGGCCATGATGCAGCAGCGATGGACTTTGGCTGAGAGGAGAGGAGGATTATATACCGAATGTATAGAGATCCTCACACCAACCACATCCTTTCTCTCCCACTTCTTCCCTTTTCTCCTCCTTCCTCTGTCTTTTTAACCTAAAGCATGTCTCTCTTCATCTACCTTTCCTTTGTCTCTGCAGGACTCGATGCCCGGCTCGTCCGGTGAGCTACAGATTAGGGGAGCACACCCTCCTGCTGCACCCTCTGCCTCCATTTTTCTCCACTGTCCCTCCTTTGCCCCTCATCCCTCTCTCACAGGACTGTAGCCAATAACAGTGTTGGGGTCACCCATGTTAATTACACAGCTAGTGCAACTGGGAAAAATGTAATGCAACACACACACACATACACACAGAGCGCACGTGAACAGTTCCTACAGAACGGAGTTGGTGAGTAAGCATGTGTCACTGAAGCAGTGCGTGTGTGTGAGAGAGAGAGAGAGAGAAAATAATAGTTTCAAAGTCAAGGGAAATGGAGAGAGCAAGGAAATGTCATGGAGAAGGATGCCAGGCGTACGAAGGAGAGAGGAGAGGGAGAAGGTGGAAGCAGACCCGGAGATGAGAAATGACTAAAGCACGGAGAAAATTCCGCTTTAGCAGATACAACCCATTCACAATCCCACATCAGAAACATAATAACCATTGTCGAGTCTTTTACAAAGGTGGAAAATTCTCCCTGTCAAATGACTGACCTTACCTCCAGTGTAACTGAGAGCAGTGAGATGAGCATGTGAGTAAAATCTCAACAATACGTGGGAGGGAACGATAAAAAGGAAAAAAGGAAAAAGAAATCTGCTTCCCCTTGATCTGAATGAATAAATGAACTGCAGAAAACTCGCTAGCCTGCATTTTCAGCGGAGACCGCAACCATTAGTTCACCGGGGAGTGAATGTCAGCTACCTGAGCAGCGTGTGTGGTGTCAGCTCGAGCTGAAGTTGAAAGATGCCATATGAACACGCATTGAGATATGCTGCAGTTCTGGCAACACCGTCCGTTCGATTTAGGGAAGTCTGATGTGAAGTTTGTGAAGGTGCAGAGAACCTTTTGTCGATGTTTTTTTGTGTGTGTGTGTGTGTGTTATGCTTGTGTGTGTGTGTGTGTGTGTGTGTGTGTGTGTGTGTGTGTGTGTGTTATGCAGGCTCTCCGTTTTGGTTTTCTTTATATTTGCTTGCTTTGCTGCTCAGATTAGCTGAGCTAAGCAAAGAGAAGAGAAGAGAGCGAATATTGCGGTGTTGGAAAGAAACCATCAATCCCGCCTTTCTTCTGCCTGTCTTCCCTCTGACCATCCTGTCTGTCTGTCTGTCTGCCTGTCCGCCATGCACACAGGGTCTATTTATGGAAAGCAATGTCACTCATGCAACACCATCGGATAGCTTTCTCCCTGGCCTGCTCACTGCTCATACATCATTAACATTCTCTACGACCCCTTCACGCACGCACGCGCACACACACGCGCACACACACGCGCACACACACACGCACAAACACACACACACACACACACAGGCGGCACAGCACACGACATGCTGCCAATCAACCAGCACAAGACAACCCAGGCTTATGGCTATACAGTTCCACACTGGATGTATTTACACACCAGCCATACTAAACGTCCAATAGGACGTACATTTGTAAAACATGCTTAATCATTAATAACATATTAGAGCTGCAGCCAAACAAACTAAACATGGTAAATAATATGCGATAAATATTATTTACCATGTTTTTAAAAAGAGACATATCTTGCTCATTTTCAAGTTCGTACTTGTATTTTTGGTTTCTGCTCGATTACCTCTACATGTCTGAGTATACCTGTTTTCACCATCTGCCTTCAATGCTCTATTTTAGCGCCTGTCTCTTTAAGCCCCCCAACACAAAATAACACCTCTGATTGGTCATAGTTTTCCGGTCTTCCACATCTGCGCCATCGACATATTCACAGCGTTACTGCAGCCGGGGACTCACTGACTACACAGAGTTTAGCGGCACTTCTAGGTGACTAGGTGGGTCCAGGCAGTTCGTTCAATATCAAGGGTGTAAATACAGACAGCGCAGGCAGTGCAGTAGCATTGGGGCCCATAAGGGTTGGGGGGGCCCGTGGACAGAGAGGGCCCTACAGCAATGTGATGGGCAGAAACAGTCCCTTTGGAGCGGTTCAGAACACTTTCTACAACATGGGACCTTTAAGTGAAACAATGTACACCCTTGCCAATTAGGGGAATATCTTTCTTTATTTTAGATTATGAAAGTGTTACGAGCTTAATGTGTTCCAAATAGGGCTTGCGTGTGTGCATGTTCGTGTGTGAGAGAGAAAGGAGAGAGTGATGGAGAGAGAGACGGAGAGAGAAACAGCGTGAGAGAGACAGAGAGAGAGAGAGAGAGAGAGAGAGAGAGAGAGAGAGTGTGACCTCGTCAGCCTCCAAGAAAGCCTTCAGAGAACAGTGGTGACACGAGGAATAGTGACACAAGTAACACAAACCAGTGATAATAGCCTCGTCTCTTTAACCCAAAATAAATAAGAAAAAAAACCAACAAGCACTAATACATTCACCAAAGCAACATTTCATATTTGGGCAGATACAACGTACCAAAAAAATGCTTTTTAGGAGTCAGCTTCAGACAGAGCCCCAGGAGTTAACAACCCGAGCATGGACATATGGGACGGAGGCAGAGAGACAGAGAAGGGAACACATCTGGACAGGGATTAAGATAGCTAAAGAGGCTAAAAAAGGAGGAGGAGACAGAAGGATTGGCTTAGCGATGGCTACGGGAGGGGCTGCTGGGGGGGGCCGGTCGTGTGATGTTGTTGTGTGATGGGTGAAGGTGGGGGTGGGTGAGGGATGAAGTCAGTTAGAAAGTTCTGTTCCTTACTTGAAAGAAGCCCGGGGGCATGGGTCCTCCTGGCATGCCATCATTGGGTGGCATGTTGCCCATCACTGGACTGGGAGCAGCGGCCGCACTCTGAAAGACAAAAAAACACAAGAGACCGCAGTTTACTCCCAGTGTTCATGTTTGATGGAGCAGTAAACAGCAATCAGGTGTTCAAATAATCCCACGTTCACCGAAAATAATGGAAAGAGAGATATGGCGCGCAGAAATGATCTGCCGCAAAACGTCCAACGCTGATTACACTCACTGAATGTCGGGACACAAATGGAGCAATTACCGATTAACTGATGAAGATATGATTATTTAGTCACAGTGATAAATGAAACTATCTTGTCAAGATGCAGATAGTTTAGGGGGCACATTAAGGCTTCAGCGGGCTTCCAGTGGAGTAGTCTGTACGATGCGCTGCAACAGACAGCCAGACCAATAGATCCATTTCAGCTGAACTTGAAGACGTGAGAGCGAGGTGGAGTTATGTTTGTTTCTTTCTCCAACACAAAGGAGACAAACTATTTTCAGGTCGGCTCTTATTTGCTCGATTTCTTCTTTTTCCACGAGTCAATGTTCCAAATGGATCTGTTGGCCAACAAAAACTAAGCAAAAAAATGTGCAAATTGTACACAGACTCAGACTGAACAATAAAACTCCTGAATGTCAAAAAACAAAATCAACTTTTACTGCAACTGCTTCAAAATAAAAGCCTTCCAGCGGCATCTCCATATAGGACAGGAGCTCAAAATCTTCAATAAACGTCCCCGAGTAATTTGAGGAAGAAAGATGTTTTTTTTTAATTCATAAAAATATGCCAAACATATTTTCTTCATATATCTTTAGTTCAGGCAGAATCTGATTAAAGAGTAAATTACAAGAATAAAACTCGGATCAAGCTGACCTCGCCAGCGCTCAAAACTTTTCATACTTACAGACACATTTCATTGGGTACAAAGTATTGAGGGTCATCACCCAGTTAACTCCCGTACTTTGGTGGATTGTGTTAAATTCCTGTCAGTGTTTTGGTCCCACTTCATATTGATGAACAACGAGATGACCATTTTTTAGTACCATAATCTTGATTTACAGAGCAGCCTTTAGTCCTGCATGCAATCCCAATTTTGAATATGGCCTCCAAATACATTTCCGGCAATATTTCCTTCATCTTTTCTCTCAATTATAATGATTTTCAACATCGGGGAGAAGACAGATGTGACGCTGGCTGCTCTGGTTTCCTTCTGAGGCAGCGAGGCAGCGAGGCTGACAGGCGGTGTTTGGTCATGACTGCTTTGTCAGAGCTCGACATTCACACATGGCCGGCGCCAAAGAAAGGAAAAAAAAAAAGTTACCCAAAGAATACATATTCAATCCGAATGTGGAGCCAATTCGCGTGTAACAGGAGGATCCAACACTGTGGAGGAATATTAAGCTACAAACAGCCCTTCTTCCTCAAAGGAAATACAACAGTATTGGTTGTATGTTCAAACACTTAACATTCCTCATATTTACATTTCCCTAACAAGTGTCTTATAGTAAGAATAATGATCGTACGAGACGCAAACGTAGAAGTAGCTTGACGATGTTGCACTTCTCAAAAAAGGTCAAAACGTTAGACTTTGACACCACGGACTGCGGTTTAGTATCCTGCTTCTTTCGACAGGCAGAAACCACGACCACAGTTTTTCCCAAACCTTATCCCAGTAGTGTTAGTTACCTAAACGTAACCATATGTTAACCATGGAGGGAGGCGGCAGATCAGGAAACTGCTCATGTGGATCTTACGTCCAGATGGGAGGACTTGATGTAGAGTGTCAAAGGAACCACAGAAGCTTTTATAGTAATAACGTTGCTTTTTAAAATTTAAAATCACAAAATCTGTTAGCTAACCGAACAATCAGACTCTCCACAAAACGTACAAACACACACACACACAAACACATACACGGTGCTCTCCTTCCGCCCCTCCCCCCACTGTAACGAGAGCTTCACTCACATCCAGAGCAAACAATCCCTCCATCCCTTGGCTGACCTGCACGGCCCAGACACTAACTAACAGGCCCCGGGGCCATGAAGCCGGACACACACACACATTGGTAAGAGGGTGCGGATCTGTGGGACTCGAACAAATCATAAGAGACTTACAGAGTGTGGATGTGGACATATCCACAGGAGTCAGACACCAGCAGAGAGACACAGAGAGAGACAGACAGACCTGGCAAACAACAGAGATGGAGAGAGAGACAGCGAGATCTCTCTAAGGGTGAGGAGAGGTCGGACAGTGAAGAACAGTCTGCTAAAGATGCTTCTATAGTCCTCTGAGGTCTGTCTATGTGTGTGTGAACCGTACCACTTCCTCCAAGCCTCAACAGCAGACAAGCATGCAAGTCAAGAGTATCTACCAAATCGGAAAGCAAAGGAGCGTACAACAATGCCCCCAGCAACACAAAGTTATTCATGATAATTCAACAGTTCAGATATAAAGTTCTCACTCCCAACTTGTCAAATACAGACGCTTTCCCCTTGGTGTCTGGTACCGACGTACTGAGGCACCCTTTAGCGTCTGTATGAGAGGCTCCAGGCTTAATACCAAATCCAATGTAAACCCATCAGTCATTGTTAGATGGTCAGAACAACTGACGAAGTATAAAGAGCGAGAAAATGTGTGTTGGATGGGAGGGAGGGGAGGTTGGATGGGTCAAACAAACAAAACATTCATGAAGGACAACGCTGTTTGTGTCCCATGTGAAATGCAATCAACGTTGAGTTATTTTACCTCAGTTTTCTTATGTAACTTACATACTTAACTAAGTACTTATTTTACGCAACAAACATGCTTATTTTAACCCCAACCATGATCTTTTCCTTAACCTAACCAAATTGTTTTGTTGAGTAAGTGAACCTAAAAACTAAGTAAACCTACGTTGGAAATGTATTGTAAAAGGGACTGTATGCATGTAACGAGCAGAAACTGACCCGCGGTCACTGAAACTGTCGCTAGAGGGGTACGTAGAGCGTCATAGTCTGAAGCCTTGGGCCACTGAGCGGTATTACAACGGCAGGTTATCAAACTAGTAAAATTAACAATTGAGTCGAGTTAACCTTAACATAACCCTACTGACGTGGTGAATGTATAGTTTTCTGAAATATCTGTCAAATTAGGGCAAAAATGCTAAATAAACATCTTAAAAAGAGTCTTCCAAGACGTTTTGACACTTTGTTCCTGATAACTGAGACCCAACCCAGGACCAGAGTCAGGCTCCTACCAAATTATATTCGGTCTAATGGGGTCAGATCCCGTTGTATTGTTGCTATGTGGATCTGAGCCAACCCATTATCAGCTCTGATCACAATCATAATCACTGCAAGATTCAAAGGCGTTTTTTTTTTGAGTCAAGAAGAACGGTGTGAGCGGCGAGCTTCAGGAGGAAGAATGAAATGTTTTTGTCTCCTTCTTCAATGGCTGCTGATTGTAAGGTGGTGTCCTCTTTTTATTTGGGTTTTGGATCAAGACTAATTATCCTGGCGTGTCTTTGGATGGGGTCCGACTGTCCTCTGCTCCCTCGCAAACGGGCAGAAAATGTATTTACGCGAGTCACGGGTACGGGTGGGTTTTCCACTGGTCTGCCTCGGCTAGATCACGTCCAAATTTACACAACAAAATAAATAAGTGTGTGAAATGAGTTGAATGGAAGGAGCAACTTTGCAGGATCACCTAAAAGAAACACAGAGGGATCTCAGACTCTTCTGACCTCAGCTGGGCCCTATAAAGCGTGTCATTGTGAGCTGTTGTCGAACAATGGGACAGCAAAAACAATAGGCTAAATGCTGTATATTACACACATGCAAACGCACGGTTAACCAGGTACGGTGTATCGGAGAGCATTTTATCTACTCAGGGATCAGCAGAGAAAGAGAAAAGAAAGATGTAAACGAGAAAAGGAAGAGAGAAGGCCAGAGATGGCTGGATGAACAGCAGAGCATCTCTCAGGGAGGAGAAAGAGTGAATGGAAGTGGTGCTAGCATTTAAGTATGTGTGGCGAGTGTGTGTGCACGCGCGTGTGTCCGTGTCCGTGTGCGTGTGCGTGTGTCTCAACCAGCCAGCGAGGCTCCACAGTACTCAGGTGAAGCGGCAGCAAAAGGCCCCCTTCTCCTAGTTGCCATGACAACCCCGACCTCAGCTCCTGCTCTCCAGTGCCCATTAAAACCCTCAGGCCGTCAATCATCAGCATGGCCAGGGAGCAGAGGGAGAGAGGGAGGGAGAGAGAGAGGGAGAGCAAGAGAGAGAGAGGGAGGTAGAGGAGAAAAGAAAGAGAGAAAAAGAAAGAGATGGAGTTTAAAGCAGCCTGTGGCTTTTGATAGCAGCCCTGTGTCTCCCTCTTCTTCTCTCTCTCTCTCTCTCTCTCTCCCTCGCACCTCCATAAAAACCATCCACTAAAATCCGAGCTGCCTCTTCACGACATTATCTTCATTCATTTCAAATCAATTTTCATACAAGCTATCTTCATTCAGCATCCCATTTTAACTAATGATCCTTCCTTGTTCGCCATATAACATCTTCAGTCTTAATTCTGCAGCCATCCATACCCCCCTCCTTCATATCGGGAAAAAGAGTTTCGACACCAATGTTTTCAAAATCTAAAGCTGTCTGTCCATTTTCTTCCAGGGTGTTTGCAACCCTATATGTAAGATACTTGCACGTATGTATGTATGTATGTATGCATGTATAGGCTGACTTAGCAAAATGACAAAATGAACCACGCGATGACTACAACTGAACGTGTCTTCCTATGTGGGTAGGAGGAGAGTTAGTTAGCTGTTAGCAGCCAGTGGGAGTCCTGCGGTGTGTTTGGTTAACAGCGCTAACAGCTAATGGAACTAAGCACCCAGCAGGAACGTCAGTTAAACTGTTCAGAGGGAGCGTAAAACAGTCAACACGAAGCGTTACACAGTGAACCGCAGTTTAGCTGCACGGAGCCTGTGCAGACAGCTGCATCGAGACGCAGAACGTGAAGGTGTTTTATAATCAAGGCCATTTTATGTTAACATCAGCCACACCTACGGTGAGGACAAAGAATAGTTCA